CCCCATCACCAAGCTCTTCCGAGACCTCGACGGTGCGGTTGACGTGGCCGTGCGTCGCGACAAGAGCAGGGAACACCGCTCCAGCGTCTTGCTGACGTCAAGCCTTTGTCTCGTCGCCTCGCAAATGTCCTGTCTCAGATAACAATGGGCGGTTGTGCATGTCGGCCCGCTGGAAGGATCAAGCCAACACCTCCCCCGAGGACATCATTGTGCAGTCGCGGGGGTTGCATTGGAGGAGGCCGGACCATTGCTTTTGCGATTGGGTTTGCCGCAAGTAAAATAAAAACAAGGGCCTCCCATTGAAGGCTGCAGGCTGACGAGTTGTATCTGGAAAACGTCGCCTGGTTCAACTGCAAAACGGTCGGTCTCGTGGCAACGCGAGTCTGTTGCCTGTCGATCATGCGCTCAGCAACCTGCGTCGCTGCGGCACTCGCTCGTCTGCTCGCTCAGGCAACGGGCGCTTGGCAGCTTGCTTGACAGAAAATGAGGGGGCAAGTAGATGAGATGCCGCGCCGGGTCAGCACGACCTCCCTTCCCCTTTCTCGTTGTCGAGAACGCAGAGCAGCGACAGCCCCTACGAGGACGGACGGGACGACGGAGACCAACACACACACACACATGATGCTGATGCGCCAAAGGCACAACACACAACGTGGGGACCCGGCATATTGGGGTGGCCCCTGGATAGGGTTTCTGGTTTTTACAGCCAAGAGCCTTGGCCATTTAAACATGGTAAAGACAAAAGATTAGGGTCCCACGTTCTGAAAGTTTACGGCTTTGGGGGTTCTTGGGGTTTCCGGGCAGTGGCATTGTCGAGTCCCGGCATCATGGTTCTATTCTGCCGGCGCGCCCATTCCCAGATTTGCTGCAACCCCCCAGTCCCAACCTCAAACTCTAAGCAAGTCAACGAGTCGGAACATGGACTGAATTCATGTGGATGGACAACTATGGACAACGTGGACGAGTTCGTCCTTTGTTCCGCCGTGGTTGTGGCGCTGGCACTATACGCATGTTTCAGCCTCCGGCCCGACCACCTGCTCACCAGCGCAGGACAGACTGTTTTTCTGGCCTTGTGGCGATGAAATCTTGTACCGTTGGTCTGGTGGTCTGCAGCAACAGGGCAGGCAAAGCAACCAACAAGCACCCCGACCACCTCGACAACAAGTGCTTCTCTGGGGCACGAAAAGGGCGAACAGGGGGCTACCTCACCGGTCTGTCAGCAGTTGCAGCAGCGTGCTCCTCAGTGCGCATCCATAAGGCCACCACTGCCGCCCATCTTTCCTCCGTCGTCGCATTGCCAAGTCACCATGCACCGACAGACCCGATCCTGGCAGGGGGACGAGGGAGAGAAGGTCTCTGGGCGTTGTCTCGCAAGCAAGGAAGACCTGGTCCCCTCAGTTTGACGGAGCCTTCTCCAACTCTTTGCCCATTGCTGCATGCGTGAGCACCTGATATGACACGACAGGCCAAGCTTTTTGCCATCATACCATGACAACTTCTGAAGACAGAGGCACGCTCATCGCTCAATGCGCCTGACAGAAGAGCCAAGATACCGTCGTCCTACCTGGGGAGTCCCCGTGAATACAGGGAAAACATGGTAGGTTGGGTTGTCGTAGGGTCGATAATAGGGCGCATCCCACGACAATACCCTGCATCAGGAGTTCCACGACAGCCCTCGTATTCCAGAATGCACGTCCGGCCGAGTCACCCCAAGTCTCCTGGCGGCTTTTGGACGATCACCACCGAGGGCCAGAGGGGGAGCCAGTCTCAGCGAGCGCTTGGGGCCTTGGCACACGTCCCGGATGCATTAGCATCCTGGCCGAACGAGAGGATTCTGAACCTCGGGCCTTTGGCCGTCGCGGGTTAATTCTCTGCTCAGCTTCGCTGCCGTCTTACCACACACACACCACACAGCCCAGTTTCCCTCCCGAGCCTACTCCCTTTTCTCTTCCTTTTGGGCCCTCCCCCCGCGCTACCTGCTAAGCGCTCCGTATTCTCCCCAGACAGATGGAGGCTGGCACCAAAATCGACATGGCTCCTCGGAACGATGCCTACACTAGAGATGGCCAAAGACTAGTCAGCGGGACGATCTATGGTTATCCGCGAGTGGAGGCTGGCAGGCATCCGCATCCCACCATCTCACCACCCCCAGCCCAGCCTCTCTCCGGGGCGGCAGTCCCAAGGGGAATTAAGCACGAAAGAGCCTCGCTCGGCAATTTATCGTGCTTGCTATTGCCGGATGACCTCAGCGCCAGGAGTGCCGCGCCACAATGCAGCATCTGTGCTGCTGCTTCTGCTGCATCGCATCCCCTTTGACCATCTGCTCCGGTCTCTGCACAAGCACAAGCAACTTGTGCTGCGACGAGGTGCTTTGGTTTCCGTTTTGCGACAGAGGCGGCCCCATCGAGGGGAACCCCTCGTTCCGGCATCAGAAACACAGATTGTTCGTCAGGGAATCGCCCAGATGCTAGGGGCGCTCCTGGTTTTCCATCTCTTTCTTTCATCCATATACGTACAGACAACAAAGTGGTCGACGTAGGGACGTGCTGGACCAACGGCGGCCTTTGTCCCGCAACGGTGCGCCAATGGCTGGATGGTTTCGTTACCGTGAACCCTGGGTCCATCCCGAGACAGCAACGAGCGGCGCTTGTGGCTGACTCCACCCCATCCAAGTTTCGCTGATCCCTGGCCCTCCTCGAGTCCAACGCGGATGTCAACATTTCGACACCTGCACAGCAGCTCACCGTTTTGCCTGGCACCGTTCGCACTATCCCAGCCATCTCCGAACCAGCCAACCCGGTTGCCTTCTGGCGTTGGCTGTGCCGCTGCTGTTCCGGCGGCCGGTCTCTCTTGGGCACATCCGAGTCCAGGATGACCGAATGACAGGACTAGTTTCCTCGTCCCTCTGTCCAAAAGTCTCATGTTTTTGGGGGGGTGGAACGTTTCTATTTGTTTTTCTGCGTCTGCCTGCAGGAGGAACCTCAAGCGAGAAGAGCCAGTCAGCTTACATGGCTCTAAGCCTCTTGACGTCAAAACGCCCTGCGGATCTATCTCTTTCCAACTTACCCTGCCCGTCATGCCTTCACCGTGTTATGTACAGTCCACAATTCGTATCGGAGCCTCATCCGGTGTGTTCCTCATGATCGCCAAGACATCATGGCGCCCAAGGCTGAACGGCCAACCCGTTAAGGCCTTGGAGCAAGTGCTTCTACGCGGGATGGAGGGGGTGCGCCGTCTCCGTCGTCTTCGTCCCGTTTCTCAAACTTCTCCACGATGAGGCAGGAAGACAATCCGCCACACCCTGTCGCCAGGCTATGCGGGTTCATCTTTCTAGCGGGACATTTATTAGGCTCTATTCTTGGATGGGTCGACCCATCGTTGAGCTCTTGGCAAGGACCCATCATCAACTCAGACCGTCCACTGTTCCATGTCTCCTTGTTCAGACCTACTCTCCGTAACGTCCCAACTTTCAGTCATATAAGTCGTCTGCCTTTCCCCCCCCCCGTTCTGCCCAGCCTCTCGACTTTGCTTCATCCTGCATCTTACTTCCCACCGGCCAAGCAAGCTTAATAACAACTCCACGTCCGAGTTCCAGTCTCACTTCGACTTTCTTGCTCGCTGCTCCTGCTGCCTCCATTCCCACTTACTTCGGGTTATTCGCTCCACCACAGCAGCCATGTATTCCTCTACTCTTCTTGGCGCTGCTGCAGTCCTTGCCCTCGCCGGAGGTGTCAACGCAGGGTACGTTCCCTCTCTCTGCCTCTCGCCCTCTTAGCCCTCGGACACGGACATGAAACTAACACCTCTCAGCCCCGTCTCCCGCCGCCAGGGCCCTCCCGTCGGCCAGGTCCTCTCCCAGTGCACCCAGACGGGCCTCGTCGCCCTCACTTTCGACGATGGCCCCTTTACCTTCACGCCGCAGCTGCTCGACACCCTCGCCGCCAACGACGTCAAGGCCACGTTTTTCGTCAACGGCAACAACTTTGGCAACATTGAGACGGCGCCTAACCCGGACACCATCATCCGGATGAAGAACGAGGGCCACCTCATCGGCTCCCACACCTTCTCCCACCCGGACCTCAACACCCTCTCGTCAGCGGACCGCATCTCGCAGATGACCCAGCTCGAGGATGCCACCCGCCGCATTGCCGGCTTCGCGCCAAAGTACATGCGCGCGCCCTTCCTGTCTTGCGACGACGCCTGCCTGGGCGACTTGGCCGGCCTCGGCTACCACGTCATTGACACCAGCCTCGACACCAAGGACTACGAGAACACCACGCCCGAGACGACGCATATCTCGGCCGAAAAGTTCGACAACGAGCTCAGCCCCGACCCGGCCTCCAACAGCTACATCGTCCTGTCGCACGACGTCCACGAGCAGACCGTCGTGTCCCTCGTGCAGAAGATGATTGATACCCTCAAGGCCAAGGGATACCGCGCCGTCACCGTCGGGGAGTGTCTTGGCGATGCCCCCGAGAACTGGTACAAGGCCTAAACGGCGTTTCAATGTTGCCAGGAGTTTTAAAAGGAATATCAGGACTAGACGATTGCCGAAACATCAGGATGCGAGACTTGGCTTGAAGACTTGGTTCCCGTTGCTGGTTTCTCATGGGCGTCATGGAGGGAAGGCTCTGGTGGATTTTTGCTGTTTGGCCAGCTTTCTTTCGGCTGCACATAAGCATGGGAGGACATAACAGAGCATCCACGGTGCAAGTAATATTATGGAGATGTCAATATTTAATACTGTTAAACTTCACTCTTTTCTCAGAGCGTACCTGATCATCCTCCCGTCAACTCTAACCTCGTCACTTTTCGTAATGCCAACCCGTGTAAGTCGAACTAAAACGACCCATGTATCCACTCAGAACAACACTCCACAATTCCCACGCTCCGCTCCAGACTCCGCTTCCACGTACCGCTCTCACACTCACTCTATGACCTCAACACGAGCGGTTATTCATTCATCGATGAGTAAGCAAACTCATCACCATTCATCCTTCGGTCTGGTGGCTCAATTGGTAGGGCGTCTGACTTCGATTGATTTTCACACAAATGGATTTTCGGAAATTTATCAGAAGATTGCGGGTTCGAGTCCCGTCTGGATCGAATGCGTCCCACTCAGCAATGTGAGGGATGTTCTTTTTTAAAGCATGTGTCGGTTCCGTCAATGCACGATTGATGATTCGTTGCCGGTCTTGACACTTTTGACTTTTGCGTCATGCGGCTTTGGTCCACGGGAATGGGAAAACTGAAAAAGAAAAGAAGAAAAAATAACCCCCAATAACTTTACCAGGGCATGGATTCCAGCGTTTTGACTTTTCCCGCTTTCTCAACGGTGAGTGCGAAGGTTAACTTGATCACTGCGTGCTCCCCTTGAGCCTCTGCCGATGAGGACGTCCTTGCTTTCCTTGCCTCCGGGGACTAATGCGCCGTTCCTGGTGGCTGCATTTGAGGCCGACGTGCGATCCGGGTCATCTTGTAGTTTCCTGTCCTACTCTTTGATCCCTCTGGAGCCACTACTGGTGATATTTTGATCTGCCGGATTCGTATGATGTAGACACGCTAGCTGCTTTCTTTCTTCTTTCTCCATCTCCGCCTTAGTGCGCTGTATGAAAATTGCAGACAAGATCTATAATTGGGAGCAACCAAGTCCTCCCAGATGGGTACCCGACGGAGCCTCCATCGTGGCGGGGAGAGACATGGAGAACTTGCCGATTGGAGGTGAGCGGCAAGGTTGTGGAATACGTGCCAAGGCCCGATTCGAGCTTGGCGAGGGATTGAGGGGGAGGGTTCGACGGACTTGATAGCTTTGCTGATCTTGGTCCTGCAGCGATAATATACATTTAGGGATCACTCAAGGTTCGGATGAACGGCTGAGGTCTCTGATAATTCCTAGCTAGACAGTTCGGGCACGAAGCTCGTCCCCTAGTCTGGTGTATCAACACAAAGCTAAAGAGTCGTATGTACGCAAATGCTGGCATATGTAAAAGTGACGCTAAGAACACCTTTTTCCAAGGTTGGATGATGGATCAGGAAACCCGAATCAACTATTTGTCAGTGGTGAACACTGCGATGAGTAGCCATACATCCACATCTCCGTAAATGGATGCATCCATCAGCCGAAAGCCTACGTATCTTGATGCTGTATGTCGCGTCTGTGCTTCTGCTTCTCCTTGAGGTCTTCCAGCATTTGTTCCATATGTCCCCTGATCGAATTCGCCGTCTTCTCGAATCCCTTCCTTTCGGCAAGGTCGAGAGCAATGTTTCCAGCGCCGTCTTCGATCAACACGTCCGCTCCAGCTTTCAGAAGTAGTTGAACGCAATCGTGTCTCCCCTTCTCTGCAGCAAGATGCAAAGGCGTCTTCCTATCACGGTCGAAAAGGTCCATGGGTGTGTTACGCTCGAGCAAGATAGCAGCCACTTCGGGAAAGCCCTTTTCTGCTGCATAGTGCAGGGCGGTTCTGGCTTTCTCAAGGTACCGCCCGCGGTATGCATAACCAGCCCTGATCAGCCTGACAGCTGTCGTAGGGGTATCTTGCTTTAACGCGCGAATAACAGCAAAGCTGTCCGTTTTTTTGGCCCCGTGGTGAAGCAGTAATTCGGTGATTTCGTCATTGCCGTCCGAGATCGAAAGTACCAGGGCTTGAGAAATAGCGCCCATGCCTATGCCTCTGTTTAGAAGAAGCTGAACCAATGCGGGATGATTGACCGCAGTCGCGCGAAATATGAGCTCGTCGCCTGAGCTTATGGGCACGTCATTGTCCAGCAATGCGGTGACAACTTCTATACCATCCTGTTCTTTCCGTTCTTGGACGCTGTCGAAAGCCACGGAAGCTCGAACAGCTTCTTGCCCTGCCTGTTGAATGGCTGTTTTGTCGTGGTCTATCAACAGTTGGAGAGCCTGAATGCTGTCACGACGAGCGGCGTTTACTACCGCAAGCGCTTCCACGGCGACGCCTCCATGCTCTTGGTGTAACAACCGGCGTACAGCATTTAGGCTATCGAGTTCTACCGCAATGACTAACGGCGAACTTGTGCCAGCTCGGGCGGTTTCAAGTAAGTAGCGTCCAATGCAATCGACGACTTCCATCTCATCTCTTATAACAAGGCGGCGAACAACGTAACGAAAGGCATCCAACAGATCTTCCAGCCAGGAAGCAGACTGGTCATTGACGAGAAGGCCTTCCGACTTCCCATCATTTAGCGTCAGGCGTCGGTACTTGCAAACTAATTCCACGGTTTCAGGGCAACCGAGGACGCATACCATCCGGACAAGTTTTCTTGGATAAGCGACGTGATCATTTGAAGGTTCTGTGCCCGTGTCCCCGAGGCTCTTCTTCTCTTCGGTTGGCAGCATTTGCCACCAAGACCTGAATGATCGTGAGAGCCGCCCGGACCCATCCTCGCCGAGAATGAAAGTTTGGAGTAGTTTGCTCAAGTGTTCCAGCCGACCGTTTTCGTTGCTGTCCTGAACGTGTAGATACCAATTGAGCGTTGTGTAGTGCTGAAGAAGACTTGTTATCTTCGGGACAGGCCCGCCGGCCGCGTCGGCAACAGGTTCCTCCTTCCAGGTTGCAAGTTCTTTTTCGACTTCAAGCTTGATGTGTTGAATACAGGCAGACGCAAGAGACGAGTTGCTGGGAGTAGATAGGAACAGATCGACACCGCGTCGGTGAACACTTTCCAAGAATTCGCGTACAGACAAGTGAGCAAACTCGAACGACTCGGTGCCGCTGCGCTGCACGACGAGGTTTGAGCAGACGTCAATGACCTCTTCGACGGTGTATTTGGAACCCCCTTCGGACAAGTACGAGGACGCGATGGCAGCAAAGTCTTCGATAGACTCCGTCCTCTTTGCGTACATGAGCCATCGGAATGTGAAGGTTGCGAGATTTGTCGCGTGAGCCCCTGAGGCGTTGATTTGTTGGTAGACCTCCCAGTAAGATTCCTCCAACGTTGCAGGCAAGACACCGAGCCTGGCCTGAATGTCTGCGGCTAGTTTCAAAACACGAAGGGACTGGATCTGGAGAGCCACCCAGCGAAACCTATTAGCATGAACAGTCAATATCAACCCGTGTTGACCGTATATCAAGTGCCGAGGGCCCATACATGCCACGAGCACCTTCAAGAAGCCTGACGACAATCTCTGTTCGTAGCTCGTCCGATAACCTTCCATTTAGAAGCTTTGCGGTATCAATTTCGGTCTCGCTATTCTCGGTAAACTCATGTCAGCTATTACGCCCTTTACCGTTTGCAGCCCGATCGGTCAGAACCGGACTCGAATAGGTGTCTTCTTACATAAATGCTTCGATGTCGCCAGCGTTATCGTCTGCTTCAATGTAAATGTTTGGAGAGCCTTGCAAATGCAGGGATATGTCATAGTTGTCTCTGCTTGAAATGAAAATCTTCAAGAGATTCGGTGCGTTCTGTAAAAGCCAACTGAGCGTATCCATGAGCTCTCGGCGGTCTTCTGGTTGAACTTCGTCAAGGGCGTCTAGAACAATGGTCACGGATGGGTATTCTTGCATCAGTTCCACAAGAGCCTCGCGAGACTCATGTGAAGTCCAATGCTGGTCCTCAAACTCGGTGAATCCGGAAAGTGCATCCTCATAACGAGCGACAATTGGCGGTAGGATCGCTGAGTTCGAACGGGTAGCTGCTAGTTGCCGAACCAGACTAGCTAGTATCTGGTCGCATTGCCCTCTCTGTGGCTCAGCTGGATTTCGCATGCAATAGAAGAACGTTAGATTCTCGCAGTCTTCTATTTCATCAATGATTCGTGACGTGAGTTTCGTCTTCCCTGAACCGGGTATGCCATGGAGCCAGATCACTGATGAAGAGCTTGCTTCCCGCCACTGACGAAACGCCGGCTTTCTGAGGAGCCATTGACCAGAGCCCTCTAGTCTTCCCTTTTTCGCTGTCTTATGGTGCAGCCTGTGCGGAATGCTGGAAATTGCTTTGAGAATCCTTCCGCGAGTATGTCTCTCGAGATCGTCCTTGATCGCTTCGATGTCATTTGAAGCACGATTGATCGGTTCTTGGAGCTCTTGGAATAGTTGGTCCAAGTTATCCAAGCTCGGTCCCCATTTCTCACTGTTGGATTTCTGAACTTTTTCCAATCGTTGGGCAATGGCGAGAACGCTTTCGGTTTTCTCGGCTTCCGCAAGCTGTGCCAAGCTCCAAACCTCTTGTTTTGCAGACTCGATATTTGCATAGATTGCCTCGATGTCGCCTTTGGAGAAAACAGTACTCTTTAAAAAGCGAACACCTGTACTATCCTGAAAGAAACGGATAATAGAAGCAAGGTAGTGGAGGATGGCGGAATAGAGCAAGGTAAAAGCTTTTGAAAATTCCGCGGAAACTGCTAACCTTTTCGGACAAACATCAGCCATCCGAGACTTAGTGTTATCTCAGAAACACCCAGTCAGACTCACTCTTCATGTTGTGGTTGACAATACAATAAATCGAGAATCTGGCAGCGTGCAATCGTGTTTGTGACGGCTTCGAGAGAATGGAGCACGTAACCGAACACTTCGACATCGTTTACGGTGGCTTGCATAATGAGTCTTACCGCAGCCCATGGCAAAGCAGCAGTGACTGGATCATACTGGATCGCAATGTCTCCGATTTTCTGTGTTTTACAAGTCAGCGAAGAGTGCCCATGCAAACACGGTCTTCATCAATTGCTGGGATCGCAATCCATACAATAATTTTGCCAATCCAGACCGATATTTTTTCGGCTATGTCTCGCAATATGACTGTCTGGCCTTTGATAGTGGCTTTCCATCGTTTCTTCATACACTCATCCTTTCGTTTGTTTGTAGCGTCAAGCAGATCTTGTAAGACGGTGCTTCGACTATTGGCCGGTATATCTACTTGTGACAGACAATTGACATCCTTCTGGGATAGTGTCCCCAAGGCGGCTGCCCAGTAATCACGCTTATCTGGGGGTTCTGGAAACTTGAGGGACTCGGTTGAATCTGACTGAATCAGCTTGTCTGCGACGTTGGACGTAGTTGGTGTTGAAGACATCGCATGCGGTAACTAGTAATTTTACCCCAAATTGAAAGCCTCTGCCGCGTCGAGCGCAGAAATAGTTGTCTTAT